TGGAAGACCCGGGCCGTGGAACGAGGGGCGATGGAGGCTGGAAATCGTTAGATGAGAATGTGAGGGAATGCGAACGATAAAAGCGGAACAGACAGGATGAGAGTAGACCTGCAAGGAGGAGGAACGAGGGACAAATAAGGAAGGATCCAGACGGGGAGTGTATAATATAAAAAAAGAGTACAGGATCTCGATGTCTAAATGAAATTCTTTGTATGAACGTAAAACTTGCAAACACGTTACGTGAATAGATGGGCATTGTAAATATACTGAGTCGTAAAATGTTTTAACTTCAAAGGTATTTTCATGGACTTCATAAATGATGAAATGTACTTATAGATACCTTATGATTTGTGTAACCATAATTGCAAATGAAGTGGAGTAGAAGATAAACGAATTATCTAGCAGATAAAAAATAGGAAAAAAAATTGATTGATAAGATTGAAAAGATTAAAAAAGTGAAAGAAAGTGAAAAGAAAAATTGAAGAAAGTGCAGGATGGAAAAAAAAGACTAAGACCTGAAAAATTTAAATTAAATACTTATCATTGACGGTATATTAAGTGAACATCTTTTTAATGAATACTTACGATTACTTACGAATTATCGTAAGAACAACATGAACGAAAAGAAATATAATACGCATTTTTTGGAGTGCTCTGCGAATTAGTGTAAAAAGAAATCGCAAAATAATTCCCTATTATTTATAATTTTCGATCTAAATCTCAATGTTTACAAAGGAAAAATTTGTAGGTGATCGGTTTCTTCAGTAACTAAAGAAAATAGAAAAGACACAAGTAGACAGGAAATTGCAAAGAAGAAAGAATAAAATAAGTTAAATACTACTACAAATATGCAAGATTGTTTGTAGACAACATCGAAACAACAAAATTACAGTACAAAAAAGCCGCAAATGTACAAAATCAAAGTACGCGAACAATTGATTGGAATTGTGCTGAACTCAATTTTTGAAAAACAAAGAACCCAGTTATTTGTTAGGTTGATATGTTTCTGTAAACATTGACAAAAGAGGAAATAACATTGACCTTACCATCTCGTATGTTCCTCGTATTTTTAAAATCAAAATATTTAGTCCTTGGAACATTGTGACATACGGACGAAGAGATCAGAATATTCGAAAGACAATGGGATGAAATTTCTCACTAAGAAATAATTAACATTTTAAATATATAATGACACAAATAACGAATATAAATATCATGTAACGACGATTTTGGCATTAAAAACGTCTACTATGCTCCTCAAAGTAGTAGTTGCGACGGAATAGACAACAATGTGCACTCATCAGGATTTGGAGACAACTGACCAATGTTTCATTGTGATTCCGGTGCATTAAGTCAAACATTTGGCATTTATATCAACGTGACCGAACTACCCCCTGGCGGTTTGAAGAGGAACTTTCAATGTCGATGTTTGGTAAACAAAGTTTACTAGAGTCAGAGTTGATTCACGTACTTCATTTGTAACAATTTGCACAACATGTTTGATCCGAATGGGCGAAAAGTGAAAGATAAGATAAAGAAATGAATGGTGTGTACATGGAACGAATGATACTGCGAAAAAAATAGAAAGAAAACATTGATTTTTTTATGTTAACGAGTCTCTATAAGCCCTATAAAAACGAGGGGAGCTTCAACAGTACATTTATTCATATTTGAAAGGAATTCACGTATTATAATGCTACATGTACCTGCAAAAGTGATTTGAACTAGCAAACATTATTTCTTCGCACTGAAACTCAAACTCCACTCCCTGGAGTTAACTCGCCATGTGCTTTACCGCGACATCACGCTGTTATTTGGGTTTACTCGTTTTTGTTGACGTTAGCAAAATTTCATGCAAGAGTCTTTCCGATTACTTCTGATCCACAATTTTGGAAAATTCAGATACTTTAACGAAAATTAGACATGCGCCATTTTTAAGTATTTTCCTATGAATGTAGATAATTAAAAAATCGAAAATTATGAGAAAATATTTTTAAAAATTAGATTAACTTCGAGCATATATTCATTTACCAAAAAAATTACACGGTTAGTTTTCAAGATTTAATGCTTCAGAAAAAATATGTGAAATTTTATGTAATTTTTTAAAGTTTCACTTTTTATGAATGCTTCTTTTAATATATTGATTATTTTTATTATTGTACTTTTGAAATACAACCACAACATTTTGGAAATTTTCAGCCTTTATTATCTACATGTATTAGTGATTACTCTTATTAGAAAAACTTGCCAAGATTTCTTTAAGAATCACATTACAAACTATGTCTGTTTCGTAGGAATCAAACGATTTTCTCCGAAAAAGGCTCTTTTGCTTTCGAGGTTCTCTGTAGTTGGAGTAGAGCGGTTTTCCCTTCCTCCACACCCTCAACGTGCCAGGAGGTGTGCCGGCGTGGAGGCGCACAGAGCTCCAGTACAGCGAATAATCAAATTGCACTCTCTCCCGAAGTGCCTGCTTTTGACGGTTCGGCGGCGGGGGGAGGGTTACGGTGCGCTGCGTAAGAAACCTCGCTGTGCGCTGTAATATGATGAAGCGCGCGCAACGTAAGGGTTCCCACTTGCACCTGGTGCGAGTGATCAAGTGCTCCAGTGGAGGTATGAAGATTCCAGGTACCCGAGCACTGATACCAGTGGACAAGATAACCAAGCCGAAACAACGATGCTAAAGAAAGGGAAGGCAACTTACCAATAACCAGGTTTCCGACGCCAAGATACTGATCAGTGAGCTTCATTTTACCTAAATCGAGATACTGACTCCCAAAATACTGCTGTCAAGACACCGATGTAGGTGATATTAAAGCTCCAAACAGGACCTCCTGGAATGTGTCCATGGTAATCGAAGGGACTATTCGAAACTCACTGACAACGGGATCTTCCAAATCTCAGACACTTACTAAAAACTGTTAAAACATTTTTCAGCGGCTTTGTTTAACCAAAGTTTACGCTCCATCGTATGTCTTATTATATTTTTCTACGATCCGAAACATCGCGCATGTTCCAGATTTTCATTCTCGAAATTCGCTGTTATCACCTTCAATTTTTGCTTACTTTACTCCTCTATTACCCTCTTCTGTAAGAACACGAACATTCACGCATTATGATCATTACGGTTACGATCACTTATAATATATTGCGTAAGGACCACTACCACTAAGGATCATTAAAAGTAAAAGATCACAAAAATTATAATTATTAATCATGACACTTACCGAACGCTCTTTGAACAAGACGTTTTGCGCCACAGGATTCGTCAGGGTTCTGTAACAATAGAACATAATGTGAATTTTGTAGCATAATGTGATATATTTTAAGTCAAATTGGTTACAAGAGACCAATTTGTAAAGAAGTCATGAAGTATGAAAAAAATCAAAGGTGAAAATTTGACATTCTTAAGCTAACTACAAAATTTGAGTTGCAGAGCATAATCTCAATTATAAGTAATTTTACATTAATTTTACTGAAAACAAAACAAATTCAAAGAAACAAAAAATTATCCTTGATTAACAAAGTTTATTTTGCACTAGTGTGTATTAAATACTGACAGCAGTAATGTCTAGCTGCTTTGCAACAAAACAATGAACAGTGAAACTGCACATACATATTGACGTTTAAATTTCGGAATGTGAGATGGATCGAGGCAAAATGTCTCTTTAAATCAGTATAAATATTATTTCTACAATTTTAGCAGTGATGTAATTGTTCTAATAACGCATCTGAGATGTTCGGACATGCCTGTTCTTCTGCTACCATTGAATAGACCTCAACGTATCTGCAGTCCACTATCAGCCCTTCTTCGACACCACCACCACCACCAGAAGAGATGCTTTTTTTGTGGCGAGCGCAGTTCAATGCATGACAACGCTCACTCCCTACAATCTGGGTCATATTAATATTGTTTTTTATCAATCACTTAAACATAGGTTATAATAGTAACATGTCACAGAATATTCACGTTGAAATCTGTACCATCTGTCACTTAGACATCTAATTCCAATATATTACATTTTTTAGTATTTACTTTCCTCAATTTTTATTCACTTTCTTTCTCATCTACTCCATCCATCCACGGTCTTCTAACGCGTTACCATTTAACAACCGTCACAGCAAAATCAGCAACACCGTCAGAGATCCCACAGACATCAATGACACTATCTCTTCAGCCTCGGTCCTTTTGTAATCCTTTCATTATATCCATCTCTTCTGCATCCTCTTCCGCTTGGTTCTTCTTCAGTCACTTTTCCATCTGTTTTAAATACATTTGTTTCCTTTAGATTTACTTTCCTCAATTTTTATTCACTTTCTTCCTCATTTACTCTTTCCTTCCTCTGTCTTCTGACGTGTTACCATCCAACGACTGTCACAACAAAATCCCCAACACCGTCGCAGATTTCACAGGCACCGACGACACTCTATCACTTCAGCCCGGGACCTTTTATATCCCTTTTCGTTATTTCTATCTCTTCTGCTTCCTTCTCCATTCCCTCTTCACTTCCCATCTTTGACATCTGGTCTCATATATTTCATTTATTTAGCATTCACTTTCCTCAATTTTCATTAACTTTCTTTCTCATCTACTCCATGCATCCTCCGTATTTTAACGAGTTTCCACACCACCGCAGAGGCAGCAAAATCTTCAACACCGTCACAGATTCCACACTATCTCTCTCCCTCCGGGGACCTTTTCCATCCCTTTCATTATTTCCGTCTCTTCTGCAACTTCCTTCCCTTGGTTCTTCTTCAGTCGCTTTGGCATCTGCTTCCAATATACTTGTTTCCTTTAGCCTCTACTTTCCTCAATTTTATTCACTTTCTTCCTCATTTACTCCTTCCTTCCTCCGTATTTTAACGAGTTTCCATACTACCGCAGAGGCAGGAAAATCTTCAACACCGTCACAGATTCCACCGGCACCGACGACGCTATCTCTCTCCCACCCGGGACCTTTTCCATCCCTTTCATTATTTCCGTCTCTTTTGCATCCTTATCCGCTCGGTTCTTCTTCAGCCGCCTCCGCACGAAGGCGTAGAAGGCCTCCTTCAGAGCTCGCGCAGCGTTCCGTCATATTAATATGAGGTTCATAAGACTCCGTCGCCCGTCGCCCCCCCCCCTCCCTCTTCCCGCCCCGTCCCCACCCCGCTGCGGCCCGGCGCCTCGCGCGCTCGCCACTACTCTGCCTCCGCCGCCAGCGAGTTCGTTTTGAGTGTACTTCCGCTCCTGCAATTTCCGAAAGTCCCAACAGCAGATCTCGCAATAAGTGCCAGTGTGTTCGAGACGAATTTCCGGATGTAATTTTCGTTTGAAGTTCGTTCGTGCTTGTTCGAAGATCGGAAAAATACTTAATAATCATTTATCCTTGGAATTCAGTTTATTAGCTTCTTCATTCAAGTCGTATTTATTAACTTGTCAATTTATTTAAATTATATAATATCAACAGTAAAAATTCTTTAAGCTTGTACCTAACTTTGCTTTCCTCTGCCCACTTTCCTTTCACAACAACTATGATTAATATTAATATTGGATGTAAAACATTTAAAACGCGATTTTCCCAATTATGTGACATTCAATAGATTTTTCACAGAATATCATTATTCGTTCACATATTATGATAAAATATAGTGATTTCTTTTCCCCTCTTTTTGAAATTCTCGAACGGAAAGTCACATCTTTATGCCACAATTGATTTTCCATTGCTTTAAGTGAATGATGCAAGAGTCCAGACATTCCTTGTTTCAAAACTTGGAGAGTCAAAATGTAGATGTAAAATCGGCTTTACTGCATCCACGGTTCCACGTTTCTTTATTTTAAGGCACATTAAATTAATTAATGTTATTAGAAAATGTAAAAAAACAGCTTATAATAACTTTTATGCAATTCGATCATGTAGTGACCCACATTATTTATTATTAATATTATTATCTTCGTATACACTTATCCTCTTGAAGAAGTAATTACTAAATGGTTAAATCATGTTTCTGCAGTTAGCCAAAAGAATTTTTCCATTAGAATTCTAATAAAATAAATTTTTAATATTATTACTTAACTGTTCAAGCACGTAATAAAATATTGTAAAGCGGCTTTCCCAAATTACTTTCAGCTGAAACCTTTCTGCACTCGAGGCAAACCTCACCACACACTCATCGCAATGCTCACCACTAATCCATTACATTATTTATGATGAAAACTAATCTTTGTGCGTAGCTAATGCAAAATATCCAATGGGACATAAAATTCATACAGAGACGTGTGAATTAAAATGGCTCCGTCTTCTTCAATAGCAACTCGTGGAAAATGGCATTCGACATATTAGCCAATTTCAAAATCCCAGCTTTCAGTTTCCTAGGCTCACCACGACCAGAAAAATGTTCATTTCCTACCCCAGACTCACCACAATTATTTACTACTTAGTGTTTCTTAAGTTCAAGCCGAGTGAACTGCCAAGGTCATTAAGTATTATGATGCTAGGTCTGCTTTGAACAAAACTCGTTGTAGATCTTCCATCAGCCCAGAAACCTCGTCAAATCCCGCGACTAAGTTCTAACATCCACTGGTTGCAGACATGTTGATGTAAGTACAAAGCGGACATGTAAGTGTAACTTTGTGGTAAGCTAAAGAGAGGAAGTGTCAAGAGAGGGATGAAACGCATAGTGTTGGCCGCAGAAACCGCGAAAAACTACCGATCAGACACCCGGCCTCCTAAATCCTCCTCTATCAGCGCTGCATTCTCCTATCTAATCCAGCCAATGCGAAAATCCCTGCCAGTCCCGGACTCGAATCTTAAGAACCTCCCGTTAGAGTAGCGTGCAGGCAACATCATAGCCCTGCCCACCTACTTGCTATTCTTTTTACCATCAAGACTCTCGTTGCTCAAATAACATAGCTCGTTTGTCAACCAGATCCAGACTCCCGCTCACCCACCGTCGTGACTTTCGCACACCCCTCTCATTCTACTGCTGTTTACAGTCCAGGATGCCATCCGACCCTGTCGAACCTACTTTCTTGGCTTCGCGGCGCGCCGCTTCGCGGTGGTCCGCTGCGCGTTGGCGCGGGCGCAGTTGGGCGGGCTAGCGGGCGCGGGCGGGTAGCGGCAGTTGGCGCGGGCTATTGCGGCAGTTGCGGCAGTTGGCGCGGCGACGGTTGGCCGTTGGGCGCGATTGACGGCGGCCGGTAGGGCGGCCAAGTGTCGACGTGACAGTTGGCGGGCAGTTGCGGCGGTTTGCGGGGGCCGGTTGTTGACGGGCGGCGTGGCTCGGCATTAGGGCGGGCGGTTTTGAGCGCGCGCGGCGGGCGGGCGGCGGGCCGGCGGCGCGGCGGGCGGCGGGCGGGCAGTGAGCAAAGCGCTAGCCGCCGCTACCCGATAACCGGGATTAATCGGGACCGCGCAGCTTCAATCGCTTCCCGTGCGCCGTGCGCCGCCACCGCCCGCGCTATTCGTCGCCGCTAATGGCGGATCCCCGCCCCTTTCGCATCATCGCCGCCGCACTGTGTGTACACGTACGGAAATTGTGTCAACTGTAAAGGGTTTGCTCTAAATAATTGAAATTTAGTGGAGGGTCCCATAACAAATATATGTACAAAAAATCTTGGGTTGTTTCGTTCCTTCTTACAATTTTGAAACTAAAATCCTTCCTTTTCCCAGGTTTTCAACCGACTGCTTGAGGTAAATGCCGAATAACAATATTTTCCCTTTTCTGAGCCAGGGCAAGGTAGGTAAATCGTTGTATTACGTGTTTGCTAAATATATCTCTGAAAACTCTTATTATTCAATTTTTATGTTTAGATTTTGATAATTTATGGTTGGCGAGGAGTGGACCTGACGATTTAAGTTTGGCCAGATTTAAATATAAGTAACTATTATATATTATTATTATTATTAATAATAATAATAATAATAATAATAATAATAATAATAATAATAATAATAATAATGTAATTCTTCATGTGTATGTGAGAACAAAAACTTTTCTTTACAAGTTACAAAATTACAAAAGCATAATAATATGTATAAAAATGAAAAATCAATAACTGTATAAAAGCAAATAAAATAATTAAAATAACTTAGATAATTTTTTCTTGATAGCCACGATTTTGAAATATGCTCATCTTCATCCTAACAATGTGTATTTAAATCTTCACACTCTCTAATACACCTTTCTCAGCATCGAATAATTGTGTAAGAATCTAACCCAATACCTAACCTATATTGCGTACATGAATTTCTTGAATTAGTACCACCACAAATATTTTTGAGCCGATTATTCTGAGACATCATTCGACCGGCTACGACCTCACTCCATAGTTTTGAGCCCGCTACCGCCAGATCGGAGGGTTACTGCTTCGAGTCCCGTCGGTGTCTGGATTTTCGATCCCCAGGTAAATCAATTATTTATTAGTTCGAAATAGAATGTTCTATTGTTGGCCCCCCTTTCCTCCAATCTGCCCCACAGTGTGTCGCTGCTGCCAACGCCCTAGCGGTGAGGAGCGCTACTCGAGCTCCGCGGCCTGCCCGGTAGCGCCTCCACGAGGCGGGAAGACGTCCTGCCGTGTAACAGGGGCTGCGCCTGGGGGAAGGGCGACATTGGATCCGTGTCTTCCTCTTAATGCATACAAAAATGAAATAATTACATCTTACCGGGACAGGTGGCTCAGAGCATCACCGGATGCCACTGTAGTGCCACTGACCTAGGTTCGTGCCCGACGGCGGCAGGATTTTCGGGACTAGCTAGGTCGAATTCAGCCACTGTCTAGATAAATATTCTAGCTGCCGGCAGCTCCGATCGGTACTTTTCTGTTGATTCTCCGAATACCAGGCGAATGCCGAAACAGTACCCTATCAAATGAACCATGGATCGCACTCCATCCGATCTTTCTTTCCTCTTCCGTGTGCTATTCTCACCTCTTGCTCACTATCACATATGCCGAGAGACCGGCATGTGGGGCGGTGCCCTACTAGTACGAGAGACCACCGCCACCTTCGCGATAAAAACATACACTACACTTACGGCATAATGACGTTTGCAGTTGACGCGCGCGGAATCACTAATCAATCAAATCACTTAGATTTTTGAAGATGTTTGTAAATATTACTCAAAATTATACGTACACTTATGGACACTAATACTACTAATAATAGAAACATATTGTATTAAATGTTCTTCAAATTCAAATTGTTAAATTGGCATCGAGTTTAAATGAAAAATATTTCTTCACAGACATTAAGCAGTTTATTAATAAAACTATCAGGTTTTCGCTACTTATAAATTTTGCAGTTATTGCTTTTATAAGATTGTTTACTAATACTACTTATTAATACAAGGTTTGTAATGTTTATGAATATTCATAACATAATTCAGTCCTGCAGGGGCTGCAGGTAGCTGTTCCAAAGTCCGCAAATACCATAGCCACGGGTTCGAATTCCGTGCAAGGCATGGATGTTTATCGTTGTTGGTGGGAACGAAGACGTTCTCAGTGCGTCATGTATTTCTTAAAAACCTTAATATT